TACTGTTCACTTTTTTAAATGCTAATTTTTATTAAGCTTCTGACTGCATGTACTCCAGAGAAGCAGCAATAAACACACACATGTCAATATCTTTAAAATAATTATATAGTGAAATGGAAAGACTGATACATGATGTGAGTGGTCAGGAGATCTGGTGAAAGACCCAGCTCTGCTGTATGATCATGCAAACTCCTTCCTTGCTTGGCCTAGTCAAATGATTTTCAAACTTTTAAAAATTCAATAATCTTCAACAAGTTAACTCCCTGGTAAAGATATTAGTAAAAATAGAAAGGAAAAGAAGAAACCAGGTCAAGGAGGAAAGGACGAGGTAAGGACAAGGATAGGGAAAGGGGAGAAAGACTACATTTACTAAGTCCCTATATGTCCTATTCATTCATTCAACAAATATTTACTGAGTGTCCACTAGACGCGGCAATGTGAATCACCTCTCTGTCTTTGGAATGAGAAGCCTGGACTCTTAGCCTATTTTCACCATATAATGTGTATAACCTTGAGGAAGTTACATAACCAATCTGTGCCTTGTCTATAAAACAGGACCAACAATGTTTATCTCATAAGATAGTTGCAAGAGTTCAGTTAGGATTTTTATAGAGAATAGAAGTTCCTGAAGTTCCTGAGGCCTGACTTTTAGTGGGTAGTCATTAAAACTGCTGAGGGCTAAGAGTACTAAGCTGAAGAGTTCAACTTTATCTTGCTGGTTAGCAGTAAGAACCTGCTCCAGGGTTTTAAGCAAGAGAATGAATGAGGAAAACAACTGGAGAGGCAGCTGTGGACAGGCTAGAAGACTGAAGTACTCTTGCCTCTAAGAAGCCTTACTTCAGGTTCCATCAACACCTGCCCTGACCAACTATTATCAATCAATACCACACTTCCCTAAACATTACGTCGTCTTCTGCTTTCATTTTTGATTGGGGAAGGCAGATGCCAAGAAAACCAGGCAAATAAAATATTGCTTTGAGTCTGTCTAACTGCCTCAAATTAGCCTCTGAAATAAACACCTTTTGTAACAACTTCCTACTGCACCACCACAACCCAAAGAGTCTAAGCAGTCTTAAGTGGAATTTTGGTTTCAATTAGTTTGAATTTCAGCTTTACTTTGATTTAGGACTTCATGGGGCAAATAAGATTTTGTTCAACTCTATGGCTAGTAGGCAACCAAGGTAAAAATTACACTTATTGAATAAGTTAGATGGGAAGTGGGGAAAAACAATATTCAGTGGTTTCCCTGGAAAAATTAACAAACTGTATTGTCTGGTAGCAAAAGATTATCCCTACACTGAAAAAACCCAGGAAGATCTGGCTTTATAGTTACTGGAACAAGCAAAAAGAAAGAAAACCCAAGCAACAAGTATGTTCAGACCACAACAGACAACTACAGTCATGTCAATTCCATTAACTATCTACGTTCTCTCTGTTTTCCTCTCCTATACCCCCTTTTTGTATAAAAATAGAGCATTTTTCCAAAGCCACATGCTGGTTTCTTCTCAAATCACTATACATCCACTTTGCATTTCATCAAATAAGGCAGTTAAACTATGACGTTAGAGCTCTTGCAGTTGGAATTAGCTAGTTCATGCAGCTTGCTAATTGTTGCTCCATTGACAAGGGAAGACCACTTGCCACTCTGGAGATCATATTTAAAATGTAGTATGATTGTACTGCTGAGAAATAAATGCTGAGTTCTGGCATCCAGTAAGCATCCTCCAATGAGCTGAGAGGTTTAATACCAAAGTGATCAATTTTGTTTTTATTTTTTAATCACAATTTTTTTCCAGGCCAGGAAAGCCTCTGGGGATTCAGGAATCATTGTGTCATTTGGGTTTTGGCAGAGGAGAAATGCAGTTTAGAAAACACACATACATGTCCCCACCCTTCCAAACTACATTCATCCACACAAAGCCACTTATTGCCTGGCTTATGAGTTCCATATGTGGCTTGAGCTAAGCTGCATGATGTGTTTGATACAAACCGTCTGTTATCGTGAGGGAATGTGGATTAATACAGTGCTTCAAAAAAGGTTACTAAAAGATCAACGCTTTCGTGATGGGATTACAATGAATTTGACTACAAAGAGAAATGGTCTGAAAGAACTGAAAATATGAAATGAAAAACGCACATATGCATCAAAGATTTAACTTTAGAGATTTGCCTCATGTAGGCAAACATCTCTGTGGAACTAATTACCAATATTTCAATCCAGTTTTAAATACTACTAAGGTTTCACTGACATGGCAAGAACTAGATTATGAGCTTGAGAAAAAGAGTACCACCATGTCAAAAGTAAAATTTGCCTTCCTAGAAGAAAATGCAACTCTTTTAAAGATGTGGAAAAGCTAGTTATAGAATATTTAATATGAGCAATAATATTGTTTCTTACAGTGAGTCATTGCAATATATACCTCTAAGGAAAAGTATAAAAACTCGATTATGGGCCTCTATTTGCAAGAACAACCTAAGTACATTTCCAATCTCATCTATAAACACATGCCAGTCTTTTCCAAAATAGACATGCTATCATGTAAACACTGGATACCATTCAGGTCTACCATTCTGAGGTATGAAGCCTAGAAGTCAAAACTAAAAGCTTTAAAGTCTAGTAATTGAAAAAGCTTCGTTCATTCCTCCTTCCAGTCACACTTTCACCTGCTTTCAGAATCATGGAATTAATACTAGAGCTGAATGGCCCCTCTAAGGAAAGCGAGAGGTTAAATGGCCTAAGGTTGAACAGGTTGAGTCCACGGACAAGAATCTAAGTCTGCCAAGTTCTACCCTTCCAGGCTCTTTTCTTTATATCATATGTCACTTTGTTGTATTCACAAGGCTCAGATTACATTTGAGTTAAATTTACCATTAAAAATCTGCCACATTAAAAATACTTCAATTAAGATGGTCCTTTGCTTCGGAATCTTACATTGGCCAGGAAACAACTAGAAGGATTAAACTCACACAGCTCTGGAGTTAACCTGTTGTGTAGTTTCTATCACTTCTAATCCTTGTGAGTTGCTAAGGAGGATTTTTATGCATATTGCAAATAGACAAGCAAAGCAAAACTGCAAATTTGTCAAAAGAAGGTAAATCATAACCCCGGATGCAACTGCAATCAGTTTTAATCAGTGATCATCAAAGAAGTGCTATGTTCTCTGGAGGTTGAAGGCTATATGAGTCAGCAGACTTGAGTAGGATCCATCAATGTAGACATTCATGCTGTTCAGCAGATGGAGCAGGCCCAAATTCTGCTCCCTGCCCTCATGTTGATAGACCTGTGTAGCCTGATTTACCCCAAAATACCCTGTATTGACCTTTGGCCCAATCTGGATCTCTGATTCCCTTCAGAGCTAAACCTTACTCTCTAAACTGATCAAATTTGGCACTTCTGAGGCTGGGCACAGTGGCTCACACCTGTAACCCCAGCACTTTGGGAGGCCAAGGTGGGTGGATCACCTGAGGTCAGGAATTCGAGACCAGCCTGGCCAACATGGTGAAACCCCATCTCTACATGGTGGTGTGTGCCTATAATCCTAGCTACTTGGGAGGTTAAGGCAAGAGAATTGTTTGAGCCTGGGAGGCAGAGGTTGCAGTGAGCTGAGATCATGCCACTGCACTCCAGCCTGGGCAACAGAGCAGGATTCCATCTCAAAAAAAAAAAAAAAAAAAAAATTGGCACTTCTGCTCCAATTCATTGGCTTTGATGTAATCTTGGTGCAAAGAACTACACACTCGGATCAAGAACACAGTTTAATAGAACAGACACAGTTGTCCAAAACATTGAGGAAATGGAATGACGGAGTATGTAAACCTGCTGTGTCTGCCTTCTTTCACATTTGAGACTCATCCAGGTTGCTATATATGTGAGTAGTCTGGTCCCTTTTTACTGCTGAGTAGTATTCTATTGCATGGATGTACCACAAATGATTTATCTATATGCCAGTTGAGGGACATCTGGGTTCTCATTTTTATCATTATGAATTAAGTTGCTATAAATATGTGGACATAGGTTTTTATTTGGACTTATATTTTTCTTTCTCTTACACTAATACCTAGGGGTGGAATTGCTGGGCTGGATAGCAGGTATATGTTTAACTTTATTTTAAAAATGTGAACTACTTTCCAAAGTGACTATATAAGTTTTTCATTCTCAGCAGCAATGTATGAGTGTTTCAGTTGCTGTGTACTGCTATCAGCACTTGATACTGCCAGTTTTAAACCTTTAGTCATTCTAGTGGTTGTATAGTAGTGCCTCAATTAAGTTTTATTTTAAATAATTAATTAATTTATTGATTGTTTTTGAGACAGGGTCTCAATCTGTCACTCAGGCTAGAGTGCAGTAGCGTGATCACAGCTCATTGCAGCTTTGACCGTGGGCTCACATGATCCTCCCATCTCAGCCTCCTCAGTAGATGGGACTACAGGCATGTGCCACCATGCCCAACTAATTTTTTATAGATACAGGGTTTTGCCATTTTGCCCAGGCTGGTCTTGAATTTCTGGACTCAAGCCATCCGCCTGCCATGGCCGTCCAAAGTGCTGGGACTACAGGTGTGAGCCATGGCACCTAGCCTCATTGTGGTTTTAATTTGCATGTCGCTAATGACTAGTAATATTGAGCTCTTTATTTTTTTAAGACAAGTTCTCACTTTGTCACCCAGGCTGGAGTGCAGTGGCAGAAACATAGCTCACTGCAGCCTTGACCTCCTGGGCTCAAGTTATCCTCCCACTTCAGCCTCCCAAGTAGCTGGGACTACAGGTGCACACCACCTCGTCTGGCTAATTTTTGTATTTTTAGTAGAAACGGGTTTTGCCATGTTGCTCAAGCTGAGCATTTTTTTCATGTTTATTTGACATCCGTATCTCTACTGGCCGTCTCAGTTTCTGTGAGCTATCTAATGGTAAATGAGAAATACCTCTGATGAATACTTAACACATCTGATTTATCCCCTCTGATTAATACCTTCTAATTAGTAGCCCTCTAATTGATATCATTTCTGCCAAATCTAGCTAGAGTATATTCTGTTTACTGCAGTAACACAATCTTATAAGCAATGGTAGCTATAGGGAGTTCCTATGTATGGAAAAGACAAATGAAAATGTTATTATAAGTGCAGGGATTCTTATAAAAATTTGGATAAATCTACATATCAGTTTTATTGAAATGAAAAAATGCACTTCAATCTGTTGCTATAAATTTGATTATGTAAGAAACATAGAGGCCCATTCTGGTACCTCCCTAGCCACATATAACAACCACAAATACCTGACATGATCATTAGAAGAAATTACTTAATTCAACAAGTAATAAGTGATTTTGAATTGTGAGCATGTGTATGTGTATGTGTGATGGCGGTGATAATGGCAGAAATAGAAGATACATGCATGGCACTGTTTATAACAGGGGAAATTTGGAAATAATCTGAAAAAAATGTTAGGCTTTTGGCCAGGTTCTATGGTGGAATAATGATAGTGCTAATGATAATGAAAATAGCGCTACAGCTGGACTCAAGCCATCCGCCTGCCATGGCCTTATGTTACTATGTTGATTTAGTGATTAGTTACGTGCCAGGATTAATGCTAAGCATTTTATATTATTTTATTCAGTCCTCACTATAACACTGAAGAAACCATGACTTAGAGACAGAATTAAATGACAGAGTTTGAATTTGCCTGAATTCAAGCACTCTGGTTGAATTCTAGGTTTGTCTGAAACCTAGCACTTTGAACTCTTAGCCACTTAAGAATGATGATGACAATGGTGATATCAATAGCAGCTATTCTTTTTCTCAACCTGCAATCTGTGCTAGGCATGGGACTTGACTGTTTACTTACATAATTTTATTTAATCTTATAATAACCCGATAAGGTAGGTGGTATAATTCCCACTTGACATATGACAAAGTTTAAAAGGTCAAAGGAGTTGCCTGAAATTCCCCAGGTGGCAAATAAAGGAGTTGGGATTTGAATTCAATTCTGAGAGTTTACACTGCAGCAGTCTAAATATTGCATATAAGTTGGTTAGAAAAGATTTTGTTTCCTTTTTCCTCATTTAATCCAATAATTATAGAAGAGACCCTCAAATCTTTTTTTTAAAAAATCAGAGAAACACATTACTTCTCTTGATTTCAGGAATTTGACAATAGTTAGATCTCTATTTAGTTACTATTCAGCTAAGCTATACATATTTAGCCTTTTAAAATCTTTGTTTGTAAGTTTATCCCTACAGCCTCTTAATCATTCTTTGTGTCTCAGAACGCCCTCCGGTTTTCCTTAAAGAATCTGGTAATGAGGTGACTTAAATGGAACACAGTTTTTCAGAATGCTCTTTTCTCTTATTAATGATTTTTCCCCTAAATATTAATTTTACTATAATAGCTACTTTATGCCTTTTAAGTTTTTTCTTTGTGGAATTCTTCTGACCTCACTTGAATTGCAATAGAGTCCAAACCCATGAGTCCACTGTTTAGTCTCTCTGGTTGATCATAAAGAAATGTAGCTTCAAAAAAAAAAAAAAAAAAAAAAAACCAAACAGCAATACCTTTTGAGTGCACATTGCTACACTGCTCCTCACAATTTGTTTTAAAATACTTTAAATAATTGTTTTCTCTCACAATTCATTTAACAAAAAGTAATGAATTCATTCAATATGTAATGAATGTTTACTATGTGGAAGGTGTGACTGGGTATCACAAAATTACTCAGCCATGGATACTACCCTAAGGAGGTTACCTCCTAATACAGTGATAACTAAGTGAACCTACAAGGAAAGCATAACCTTCTATGAGAGTCTGATGAGTGGGAATAGTAGGCAGAATTTCAAGATGGCCCCCCTGGTGTTAATTCCCTGATAATTATATGTTTACGGCAAAGGGCGATTATTTTGGTGGGACGGTCTAATCAAACAAACTTTACAAGCAGAGTTTTCTCTGGCTGGCAGCAGGAGAGAGAGAGAGAGAGAGATTTAAAGTATGAGAAGGGCTTGATGGGACATTATTGGTCTGAAGATAGAGGGTCATCTAAGAAGAAATGTGGACAGCTTCTAGGAGCAAAGAATGGCCCCTGGCTGAAGCCAGCAAGTAAATGGGAACTTCAGACCTACAGCTGCAAAGAACTGAATTCTGCCAACAATTTAGATGAGTGTGGAAGTGGATTATTGCCAAGAAACTCCAGATAAGAGCTCAGCCTGGCCAACACGTTGATTTTGGCCTTGTAAGACCCCGAGCAAAGAAACCAGCTGAGCCCACACAGACTTCTGACCTGAAGATCTGTGAGGTAAAAATGGATGTTGCAGAAAAGGCTTTTGATAAAATTCAACATCCCTTCATGATAAAAACTCTCAACAAACTAGGTATTAAAGGAACATAGTTCAAAATAATAACAGCCATCTATGACAAGCCTACAGTCAACATCATATTGAATGGGCAAAAGGTAAAGGCATTTCCCATGAAAACCAGCAGGAGGCAAGGATGCCCTCTCTCCCCACTCCTATTCAACAAAGTTTTGGAAGTCCTGGCCAGAGCAATCAGGCAAGAGAAAGAAATAAAGGGCATCCTAATAGGAAGAGAGGAAGTCAAACTATCCCTGTTTGCAGACAACATTATTTTATATCTACTAAACCCCACAGTCTTGACCCCAAACCTCCTTAAGCTGATAAACAACTTTAGCAAAGTTTCAGGATACAAAATCAATGTACAAAAATCACTAGCATTCCCAACAACAGCCACGCCAAAAGCTAAATCAGGAACACAATCCATTCACAACTGTCACAAAAAGAATAAAATACCTAGGAATACAGCTAACCAGGGAGGTCAAAGATCTCTACTAGGACAATTACAAAACTCTGCTCAAAGAAATAAAGATAATGCAAATGGGGAAATATTTCATGCTCATGAATTGGAAGAATCAATACCATTAAAACAGCCACACTGCCCAAAGCAATTTATACATTCAATGCTATTCTTATCAAACTACCAACGACATTTTTCACAGAAGTAGAAAAAACTATTTTAAAATTCATATGGAACCAAAAAGAGCCTTAATGGCCAAGGCAATTCTAAGTAAAAAGAACAAAGCAGGATACACCACGCTGCCCAACTTCACAAGTATACTACAGGGCTACAATAACCCAAACATCATGGTACTGGTACCAAAACAGACTCATGGACCAATGGAATAGAATAGAGAGCCCATAAAAAAGGCTGTACACCTACAACCCTCTGATCCTTGACAAAGCTGACAAAAACAAGCAATGGAGAAGGGATTCTCTATTCAATAAATGGTGCTGGGATAACTGACTAGCTATATGCAGAAGACTGAAATTAAACCCCCTTCCTTAAGCCATAAACAAAAATCAACTCAAGATGGATTAAAGACTTAAATGTAAAACCCAAAACTATAAAAATCCTGGAAGACAAACCTAGGCAATACCATTCTGGACATAGGAACTGGCAAAGATTTCATGACGAAGACACCAAAGGCAACTGCAACAAAAGCAAAAATTGACAAATAGGATCAAATTAAAGAGCTTTTGCACAGCAAAATAAACTGTCAACAGAGTAAACAGACAACCTATAGAATGGGAGAAAATATTTGCAAAGTATGCATCTGATGAAGGTCTAATATCCAGCATCTATAAGGAACTTAAAGAAATTTACAAGAGAAAAACAACCCCATCAAAAGAGGGCAAAGGACATGAACAAACACTTTTCAAAAGGAGACATACATATGACCAACAAGTATATGAAAACAACTCAGTATCACTGATCATCAGAGAAACGCAAATCAAAACCACAGTGAGATACCATCTCATACCAGTCAGAATGGCTATTATTAAAAGGTCAAAAAATAATAGACATTGGCAAGGTTGAGGAGAAAAAGGAAAGCTTACACACTGTTGGCAGGAGTGTAAATTAGTTTAATCAAAAGTGGTGATTTCTCAAAGAGCTAAAAACAAAAGTACCATTCAACCCAGAAATCCCATTACTGAGTATATATCCAAAGGAATATAAATTGTTTTATCATAAAGACACATGCACGTGTATGTTCATTGCAGCACTGTTCACAACTGCAATAACATGGAATCAACCTAAGTGCCCATCAGTGGAAGACTGCATAAAGAAAATGAGGCACATATACACCATGGAATACTATGCAGCCATAAAAAAGAATGAGATCATGTTCTTTGCAAAAACATGAATGGAGCTGGAGGCCACTATCCTCAGCAAACTAATGCAGGTAGAGAAAACCTAATACCACATGTTCTCACTTAAAAGTGGGACCTAAATGATGACAACACATGGACACAAAGATGGGGATAACAGCTAATGGGTCCTGCTAGATGATGGAAGATGGAAGGAGGGAGAGGAACAGAAAAAACAACTACTGGGTACTAGGATTAGTACCTGGGTCATGAAATAATCTGTACATCAAACTTCTGTGACAACAATTTATAAGGAACCTGCACATGCACCCCTGAAAGTTTTTTTTGTTTTTTTTTTTTTAAAGGATGTTGTTTAAGCTGCTGGTAATTTGTTATAAATTACAGAAAACTAATTCAGGTGGAAAAGATTACATCTACCTTTTGCCTGAAGATATTAGGGGAGAATTCATGGGGAGAACATGACCTAAGCAGTTCACTGATGAACAGATAACATTTAGATGAGGGAAGCTAGTAGAGAGAGTTTCTGGAATTTCTTTCTTTCCTTTTTTTTTTTTTAATGAATGAGAGGTTCTTATGTTGTGCAGGTTGGCCTTGAACGCATAGCCTCGCCTCCACCAGCGCCAGGACAACTGGCCCGAGCCACCGCAGCTCCTTGGAATTTCATTCAACACTTCTAATAAACATTTTTGTGTATCTACTACGTGTCAGGCACAGGGGGGTTAGTCCTTAACAATAGTACAGAACTTCTCAGTTAGCAGATAGTTTGGACATTAAACATATGGGAGACACTCCCCAGTGGCTAATTTAGGTGCTCAGGGGAAAGAGTTAGCAATATTGTTTTTTTTTGAGACGGAGTTTCGCTCTTGTTACCCAGGCTGGAGTGCAATGACGCGATCTCGGCTCACCGCAACCTCCGCCTCCCAGGTTCAGGCAATTCTCCTGCCCCAGCCTCCTGAGTCGCTGGGATTACAGGCACGCGCCACCATGCCCAGCTAATTTTTTGTAGTTTTAGTAGAGACGGGGTTTCACCATGTTGACCAGGATGGTCTCGATCTCTTGACCTCGTGATCCACCCGCCTCGGCCTCCCACAGTGCTGGGATTACAGGCGTGAGCCACCGCGCCAATCATCTCTGACTTTATCTCCTTTGGGAAGTATAAATTTTTGTTCTCCATAGATCATAGTTCTCCAAAAGATTCTGGAAGTTTTTTGTTAGAGTAAGAGCCAAATTTGGATGTTTAAGCTTATGGAAAGTAGACTGGACAATTAAAAAACACATTGTGATTTTGATTGTCAAATTGGGAATGCATAACATTTACATAATAATCCATTTCAAGTATAATGGTCACAAGTCAAAAATTACAGCATAAGACAGAGATGTTCACTACTACCATAACCGGTTTATACTAATTAGGTAAGAGAAAAAGTCCAGCTATAAAAATTGGAAAATAATAGGCAAAGGATCATTTTTAATAGATATGATCATACATTCAGAAAATTCAAGCAAACCAAGTGAAAACTCATCACAAATAAGATATTCAATACAAAATTTAAAAACAAAAATCATTGATCTTCCTTTATATAAATAACAATGAATTAGAATATTATGTGGTGCTACTTTAAACAGAAACAAAGATAAAATACCTGGAAATAAACATAACAAAAATAGCAAGATCTATATGAAGAAAATTTTAATATTCTATTGAGGGATGTAAAAGAAGATATGAGTAAGTGGAAACTTACTTGTTCGTGAATAGGAAGACCTGTTATTATAAAGATGATATTTCTCTACAAACTAACCTATACATTCACTATAATCCTAGTAAACATACTAATAGGATCTTTTTAGAACTAGAAAACTTATTCCAAAGTTTAGCCTTGTTTTCATAACTAAAGCACTTCTGTGGCATTTTCTATTGATTAGGCCCTGTTTTAAGTACGTTACAAATATTAACGCATTCAATTGTCATAAGAACCCTAACAAAGCAGGCACTATTATTTTCCTCATGCTACAGATGAAAAAACGGAGGCACAGAACAAGAAAATAATTTGCTCCTATGATCCCTATACAGGACCTACAAGATGACTGTAAATGCTCTAATGAGAGAGAATTTATTCTACTTACTGTTAAATGCCCAGCACCTACTATCATGCCAGGTGTGTGGTAGTTAATACACTTTTTTGGGGGAATTGCACTGCAAATTGCAGGGGTGAAATCCACATTTCCTTATTTGATTGATGAATACATCCATGTTGGAAAAGCTTTCTTGAGGTGTTGGGATCTAAGCCATTATCTGAAAGAAGATGAGCTGAAAGCAGTAACACCTGGGAAAGGAGGCCAGCGAGTGGAGAGTTGAAAAGACTCTAAGCAAAGCTCAGAGGCAGGTAAGCACGTGTGATGAATGTGTGTGGATGTGTATCTGGGGGAAGTGGACTGGCAGAGGAACCATTTTATTTAATTTTAAACAACAGAACAGGAATACAATTTTTTTTTTTGCATTAGGTGCTATGAAAACGAATTTTTTACAATGTATGAATCAGCTCTGCAGGCGTGAACAATTTTGGACAACTGTATTGGGGGTGCAAAAAAATCAGCACAAATTTGTTTTAGATACATTAACATTTCCATCAAGAGGTTTGGTAAATAAGGGCTCCATTTGGTATTTAAATATTACTCTTTGTGCTATTCCTCTTTGAGCAGATTATGATACAAAAAACCACCCCCATCAAATCAATTAGCTTTTCCAAGGACTGTGCCACGCTTACTAAACCATGATGTGGTCTTCTATCTTCAAACTGCCACTGACACATTAACTTCCTATCTAGCTCCAAAAATTCTTCACTGACAAACAATCTAATAAAAAGCCTATTTAAAATATGCAAAATGGTATAGGAGAAGGAACAACAAAACAAAAAGGTCTTTGGTTGGCATCTCGCTTTGCAAGTTACTCTCTGTATGGCCTTGGCAAGTCTCTTGTAGCCCCTGAGCCTCTGGCTCCTTGTATACATAATACATATAACAATATCTGCTTCATAGAATTATTGTGTGGATTAATTAAAGTAATTTATGGAAAACTCCCACCACAGTCTGTGAGTTCTAAGTGTCTTCCAAATGTTATCTTCCTTTTCCCTCAATGGCTATTCCTAAGGACACTGTTTCTTACACTAAATCATTAATGCTATACCTTATTTTTCTACTTAATTTATTATTAATTTCTCTGTCTAACTTGTTTCAGTTAAGACTATACGTTGCTATTTTGGATCTCAACTGATTCAGGCATGTCTAGAAGAGACAAGACTCACCAAAAAAAAAAAAAATTCCCATCCAAGACAAACAATAAGATCCACAGCATTTTGAAGATAAGAAATGCCAAAATTCTGCGGATGAAAGTAAATTAAAGTAATAGGATTAGAAAATGGACAGAACAACAAAAATGGAATGATAGTGGCAGGATTATCAGGTAGAGGACATAAAACTACAGGCGGTAAGGGGCAGACCTACATTTGGAACCTAAGTCGATCCATATATACATGTTTAACAGAATGAATATACATATTCAAGCAGAATTTCAACTAGCATATAAATTAGCTATGGTAACAACACGATTTCTTTTTGTTCCACCTTCAGTCTTGTATAGGTGTGAAGAACGTAAGCATCTAGAAGCATATATTCATCACTCAGCAGATATTGAACTCTTCTGTGTAGCAGGGCATGGGCTGAGGTTACAAAGACAAGGAAGAGGCAGTTCCATAATATAATAGAAATACATTTAAAAATCAGAAACATGAGTAC